AACAACAACAACAACAACAATTATAACAATAACAACAACAACATGACAAAGTAGCAACAATGGTGCATTGGAAGATCTGCAAGAAATATCATTTGCCTGTAAGCAAGAACTGGTGGGATCATAAAATAGAGAAAGTCATAGAAAATGATAAAGGAATGGTTGCTGGAATTGGGTATGTCTACTTTAACGAAGAGAAGGACGAGGGGGGACATGATAGCAAGTGTTCCAATATCTCAGGGGCTGCCCCAAAGAAGAGGGAGTCAAGCTATTTTCCAAGGTGCCCGAAGGCAGGACAAGAAGCAACGGGTGGAAACTAATCAAGGAGAGAAGCAACCTAGAACTAAGGAGAAATTTTCTAATAGTTAGAACAATTAACCAGTGGAACAACCTGCCTCCAGAAGCGACGGATGCTCCAACACTGGACGTTTTTAAAAAGAGACTGGACAGCCATTTGTCAGAAATGGTATAGGGTTTCCTGCCTGAGCAGAGGGTTGGACCAGATGACCTCCAAGGTCCCTTCCAACTTTATCATCATTATTAAGTTAAACTGCTCTGGGACTTCAGAATTCAAACAGACAAGCACCTGCCACATAACACCCCGGACTTAACAATTGTCGATAAGAAAGTACATCAGATGGTTGAAGAAGAAAAAATGGCTTTGGAAGAATATCTGAAGGACAGTGATGAAGATGCACTGAAATTAGTATATCAGGAAGGCTTACTGACTACTGGAGAGACCAAACTGGTCTACAGGAAAGACCAAATGAAGAACAGAATAGAGGCATGGGAAGACAAAGCACTACATGGCCAGTACATTAAAAAAAAATAGCTGGGAAAGCAGATAATAACAAGACCTGGCAATGGCTAAGAGCAGGAAAATTGAAGAAAGAGACCGAGGGACTAATTCTGGCTGCACAAGACCAAGCCTTAAGGACAAATGCATATAAAGTCAAAATTGAGAAGACAGCAACAGACAGTAAGTGCCGCCTATGCAAAGAAGCTGAAGAAACAGGGGACCACCTGGTAAGCTGCTGCAAGAAGATCGCACAGACTGACTACAAGTAGCGGCATGACAAAGTAGCAACAATGGTGCATTGGAAGATCTGCAAGAAATATCATTTGCCTGTAAGCAAAAACTGGTGGGATCATAAAATAGAGAAAGTCATAGAAAATGATAAAATTAAACTGCTCTGGGACTTCAGAATTCAAACAGACAAGCACCTGCAACATAACACCCCGGACTTAACAATTGTCGATAAGAA